GCTGCCGGGAGGGAGGAGAGCTGGATTTAATGGGAAATGGGCAAACGCTGCGAGCCCCGCATGGAGCTAGTCCTCATCGGGGCTGAGGCTGAGTGGAGCACCTAGGGTCTCTCAGGGTAGATGCCTTTGTGGCTGGGGGTTCCACTCCTGCATGTGTGGAGCTGCAAACAAGAAAATCAATGGACAGCATCCCAAAGATCTAGAGAGTCCATAATGATCAAAGGAAAGAGGAAAACGAGAAAGGAATGTTTATTCCTCTGAATCATCTAGAATTTGTTCTTTAGGTAGTTGTGCCATGGTAGACAGAAGACTGTACCTACAGTCCTGTGGACCTGGTTTGAATGTTGGCTTGAGGAAAAACAACATTGCCTCTACTTCTCCATCAGTAAAATGGAGAGGATACCTTTATCCTGTGGTGATTATGAGGACTCATTCATTGAACACATTTTATTGAGCATTAACTAAATCATAAGCCAGAGGCTGGTGTTAAAGAACAGACAACAGTCATCATGAAAATGCCAAGTGCATGACAGTGCACAAAAACGTTGGGAACTATGAAACAGTGCTTAACGTGATTCATATTTTTACCATCTAATTGTTTCACTAGGTTGTAAGCTACACAAGGGCATGCTTTGATCTACCCTATTTACAAAGTCTGAAGCATAGTAGAAGCTCAACACATTGAGTTTCAGTGAATGACATGGAGGATGAGAGGTCAGGGACAGGTCAGGTCTTGCCCAAAATATCTTTGGTCCTTTCACTTCCTCCCAGCACTACTTGGACACAAGCACAGTGTCCTAGCAGAGCCAATCCCCAGAGTTCACACCAGACATATTTGGTTGTGTTTAATTTTATATTCTGTCTTAGAGTGAAAGTTTGCTGATAAGACGGTCCGCGGCAGGCCATTCTCAAATGCCTTTATTCTAGAAAGTACAACAAAGGCTCACATTCTGCATTTAATTAGGTCTATACTTCTTTTAGCCTTACTTGGTTGAAATGAAAACAAATTATCGGTAGGCAAATGAGACACCACATGGAGATTTTGAAATCTCCTTAACTCTGACTTAACTAAAGAATGTAGGAACTCCATCCCATTTGGGAGGGAGAAGGAAAAGGAAGCATTTCAAATCTGCCCCACAAGCTTTCAGCTCATTGTAAGATGAAACGTTATTCTCAACATCTATCTATCTATCTATCTATCTATCTATCTATCTATCTATCTATCTATCTATCCATCTATCCATCCAACAGACACACACATACCGTCTCTAGGTTTGAGTCCTTAGTTCAATTCTTATTAACCATGTGGCCTTGGACAAGTTACTTATTCTGTCTAAGTCTCAGTTTTCTCTTCTTGGGTAGAATAAAACCCAACTCACAGGGCTATAGGACTATTATAAATGACATAATGCATAAAAAACTCTTGGTCTTTGGCTCATTGGAAGCATTCAATAAATGGCAATTGTTGTTTAATGTTATTGTTATTCTATAGTTTAAACTGTATAATTCCTATCCAGTTTCTGCATTCCTTCACCCTGGCACTGTTGACATTTTGGGCTGGATAATTCTTTGTATGGGTCATTCTGTGCATTTAGCTTGTTTTAGCAGCATCTCTGGCCTCCACCCAGTAGATGTCAGTAATATCTCACAACCAGGAATGGTGACCAAAATATCTTGAGACATTGCCGAATGTTCCCTGGGAGACAAAACTTCTGCCGTTTGGGAAGCATTGGTACAGAACAAAGAGCAGTGAGTGGTCCTCGAGATAGGAGACCTGGTTTCTATTTGTTGATTGGTGATCTTGGGTAAGTCCTACCACTTCCCTGGGCCTTGGTTTTCTCATATGGTAAAAGAGGGCAGGAAATTCCTACTTTCTCTTTCATAATTTTTATAAGAATGAAAGAGAAAGAAAATCAATGCTCACAGGAAGTGTTATGCTATTATGACTAAGTTGCTAGAGGTGGTCTATCGAGGGGCAATTCCGAGAAGCCTTGCCCAGGGACAACAGCTGATGCCAACCTGTTTTCTTCTTTAATTCTCCCCTTGGGGAGCCACTGGCCTCCCAGCAGCTGCTTCTTGATCAATGTCAAGGATTCCCTGTGCCTTTAATGGATGTACTTGTGGCTTGGCTTGAAGAATTCAAGAGGAACTGTTTCCTTTCAACATGAAATGAAGATGCTCTTTTTGATAAAAATTATTGTAAGTGGTGAAAACTGCCTTGTCATCTCTAGATTTAGCATTCATTTAAATTTATCTCTCACATGACGAGAACTAACCAATGGTCAGAATGTTAACTTGTCCTCTGTGGACTGATATTCAGAAAGAAAGGGTCTCAGGGTTTCTAACATCACTGTACTGATTAATACTATGCTAATACAGAGTAATACGAGGGTGGACTTCCTCATCAGTAAGGGAACACTTTTTGATGTCATAGCATATTAGGAGAATCTGTATACTAGAATCCAGAGGTGCAGCCTATTGTCATTCTTTTATCTATTTCTGAAAAAATCTTGAAATGGGAGCTAGCAGCGTGTCTGGGGAAAAGAGCTGTAAGCTTTGAGTTTGGTCAGAGTTATATGTAGATAGAGGAGGGTTCCGGTCCAATCTCATCATCTGTGTGATGTAGACCAGTCCTTTAGCCCTTCTGAACCTCAGTGGACTACACTAACACTTACCCTATGGTGTGGATATGAGTTTTAAATACACATGAATATGTAAAGTGCAGAGCATTGTACAGGCACATGGTAAGTGTTTTGTGAGATGTAAGTGATCTTTCTCTCTATATCCACAGTCTGAAAGACTGTTTAAAGATTCCTTTCATCCCTCAAAGTCTGTATTTGTTCTGATTGCTTCAGGAAGGTCACTGAAATGAAAACCATACTTTTTAAGGTATAATTTAGAGTCTTGACTAAACTAAACTAATTGTAATAAGGCTTGAATCAGCTTATCAACAAATCATCCAGTTTATGAACAAATTACCTCCCTACTTCTAGTTGGAAATTAAGGGTCAGAAGTCACCCAAAGGACAATTGCATTTACCCAGAGAGGAACGTACAATGTGTTTCTTTCCTGAAATAATTCATTTGGTCTCCTTAAGGACACATGTCAGTATTCTGAGATAGCATGGTAGAGTAGCATGAAGATGAGGTTGGAGTCAGACAGACATGCCATTAGGTAGTTGGGTGTAACATCGGCAACATAGGGTTAATAATACCCATCACAGTGTAAGGGCAAGTATAAAGCCTATGAAAATCCCAAGCACCATGCCTGACACATGGAAGGTGCTCAGTTAGCGATGCTTTTCATCCTTGACTTTCTTATAGATCTTTGTACCTTATCTGGTTTATGAAAAGGGGTGGACAGCTAAGTAAATGATTATAAATCTACATTTTATTTTAATTCCTTTCCTATTAATGTTGAATATAGCATGTGGGAAAAGTCATGAATTCTTAAGGGCACACCATTTAAAAAATACCGGATAATTTGCTTTGAAGTTTCCAATGGTAGCTCTGGAAGAGTTTTACTTCATAATTTGTTCTTTATGCTGTATATGAAGGCAGTTTAAAGCCCAGCAATACAAAAGGGGTCTGGTCACCTCTTTCTCAAACTTGGCATGTTTAACCACCCATAAAATCATTTTGCAAGAGAAGACAATATAGTAACAGGTAACACATAAGAATGAAATTATAGAATAATAGTTTCCCACATTTTCATCACTAAAGTTTCTTTTTAACATTTTTATTACTTCTTCCTATGGGCCTTTTTGGCATGTTTTAGCTTCCTCTTTGTTCCATAACATTCGTGCTAACTTCTATTGCATCATACGCACTGCATTGTGATTGTAATGTGAATCACATTTTATTTCTCTTTCAAAACCCCTGCTCCACAGTGGGCTCTCAAATAATATTTGCTAAACTGAGAGCAAACATTCCTCTCTCTCTGTTGACTACATACCAATTATAGTAGATTCCTCTTTATATATTGACTATATTATTGGTTAAGCATTTACTATCTTCAAGACATCATAGAGTTTTTTTTAACAACCCATTTATTCTCCCAGTACCCCCCAGGTGGATGTTATTATTATGTCCATTTTCCTGCTATGGCTTTCCCCACAGCGACACTGGACTCTATGCCTGGAGAGCCCAGTTGACATCATCTATGAGAACTAGGATCAGGAAGAAGAGTCAGTTCCAAAACAGTCCCAAACTCCAGGGTTCGCCCTTATTTTCATTCTCTTTTCTTTCTTCTACCCTCCAAACAGTTTTCTAGGAAATGGAACAAACTGATTCAGGAATTTCATTTTCTTCCCACACTTCTGTGGCGTAACAGGATGACACGGACGACACAGTTTAGCTACACATTGCCCTGGATGACTCACACCTGTAGATTCATCCTGCCTCGTGAGTGTTCTCAAGGACAAAGGGAAAACAGTTCTCTTTCGGCTTCCAGTACACCTGTCATGCTAAAATGGCTGTATGTGGACATGGACCATGGAGAGCAATGTCTTTTTCTACATGACTGACTGTGATGAGCTGGTTCCCTTGCACCTGTTACACCCACTAATCACAATGGCTGTGGGAATAAAGTAGTTTGCTCCCAGACAGTGTGAGCTGGTACCCTAAAAGGTGTTTTATATAGATGCAGCAAGGTTTATCTGCCTTAGAAACATAGTTTGGGATCTAGCAAACATGACCCCTCTCCTTTGCCCCCTTATCGACTCTGCTAAGGGCAGGGGGAGAGAGAGGGGCTCTTTTAAAAGTCCCTGAATAGGGCGCCTGGGTGGCTCAGTCGGTTAAGCGACTGCCTTCGGCTCAGGTCGTGATCCTGGAGTCCCGGGATCGAGTCCCGCATCGGGCTCCCTGCTCGGCGGGGAGTCTGCTTCTCCCTCTGACCCTCCCCCTCTCATGCTCTCTCTCTCTCTCATTCTCTCTCTCGAATAAATAAATCAAATCTTTAAAAAAAAAAAAAAAGTCCCTGAATACGTTAAGGGCATTTACCACAGGCTGGGATGTCGCACAGGTCAGACTTGAAATTTTCATCCAAGGTGAAGCACCAGGGAGCCTCCTCCTGATTCCCTGGATTGCGGCAGTAGGAATGGCCCCCGTTCAGCTCCGGGAAACGGAGGGCGGTAAAGGTGTGCATGTGGGGGTACTGGGAATTCCACGGCTGGCACTGGCGCCCTGATTTGGTCACACTCACGGTTCCCCGGTAGTCCACACCTGTGTTGTTATAGCACCTGTGATCTGAAAAACGGAAGGGAGAATGGCCCAAACCGTGAGAAAGAAACAAGAGATGCTGGAGCTCCCAGACAGCAGTTTCTGGAAGAAGGACTTGCAATTAACCTCATGGCTAAGGCTCCCCTGCTGGTCAGGGGCCATGTGGGCAGTCTCCTTGCTTGCCGGGCTGGGACACCGGTCCTGCCTGGCAGCTACATTCCTGGGAGGATTTAAAGCTCATGCGTCAGGAATAAAACCAGTCCTCCACAAGGCCTTTTAATACTGAACACACACACACAAAAATCAGAACTGGGGGCGGGACTCGGGGGCACAGGAGTAATTTCATAGTGAATGGTTCAGGAAAGGTTCAAGCTGAATGCTTCTTTCCATTTTTGCTTGATGTCTTTAGACATGAATCGTGGGATAAAGAATCTAGTTCCCAGAAAATGTTCACTAGGAGCAGTGCATGTGGGTTTCTAACAGAAGTTAGGGCCACTCTGTGCTGATGGACTGGGTCTTTTGGAGAAGGAAGTCCTCTTCCCAGGGGACCACAAGGCTGTTACTTGAAAGCACTGCAAAAATCCGTTGAGTTGAAATAAATCAAAATATGGAGGGGTAATGATAAAATAATAGTAATAATGAAGATATTGCTATTATTAATTGCTAAGCATAGTTCTAAGTGTTTTAGATGCCTTAATTCATATAACTAATAGCATAATATTAAATTACAAAAGGAAACTAAAAAACTACCAGTGAGTTTAATTCTAGGTGAATGGGAAGTTATAGAGGAACAGAATTGAGAGGACAGTGGATAGAGGCAAGCTCCATGGATATGTATTTTAAATTGTGGTACAATATACATATCATAAAATTTACCATTAGTGTATTTAGAACATTCAAAATATTGTGCAACCTTCACCACTATCTCATTCCAGAACACCTGGATCATCCCCAAGGAAACCCTATACTCACTCAGCAGTCACTCCCCAAGCCCCCCACCCCATCCCTGGTAATCACTAACAGGCTTTCTGTCTCCATGGGTTTGTCTATCCTGGATATTTCATAGAAACGGAATCATACAATGGTTTCTGGCTTCTTTGGCTTTCATGACACTTTCAAGTTTCAGCCATGTTGTAGCATGTAACAGGATTTTATTCTTTTTTTTTTTTTTTAAAAGATCTTATTTATTCATTTGAGAGAGAGACAGAGAGAGCAAAAGCAGAGGGAGAGGCAGAGGTAGAGGGAGAAGCAGACTCCCTGCTGAGCTGGGAGCCCGATGTGGGACTCGATCCCAGGACCTGGAGATCATGACCTGAGCCGAAGGCAGACAGATGCTTAACCATCTGAGCCACCCAGGCACCCCAGGATTTTGTTCCTTTTTATGGGTGAATCATATTTCCTTATATAGATATACCACAATTTGTTTATCCACTCATCTGCCGATGGACACTTGGGTTGTTTCTACCTTTCAGCCATTGTGAATAGACCTGTTAGGAACACCTGCATACAAGTTTTTGTTTGAACACCTTTTTCAAATTCTTGTGAGTGTACCCTCCAGGACTGGCACTGCGGGTCAAATGGCAATTCTATTTAAGTCACTGAAGAACCAGCAACCGTATTTAGAGATTATCATCTTCATGAAGCTTCTTGAGGATAGGGACAGCATCCAATCCACCACTGAAAGCTCCGCCCCCACACAGCATTTAGCCCACTGGAAGGTAATCTGCCTGTTTACCAGTAAGAATCCTTGCTACAGATAGAGGTCCAGTTTTCACTACGCCATGGGGTTGCTGGCCCCCAGGCAGCACGGAAGGTCAGGAGTTACCACCTACTTTTATTGATAGGATCCGCCATGGGAATTCCAATCCGGATGCAGTTTGCGGCTTCAGGGCTCTCAGGCTGGGGGAGATCTTCACAGTTTGGCAGTTTCAGCCTCATCAGGATCATGGGATTTGATCTTGCAAAAATGTACTCTGTTTGACACAGGACGTTTTCCAGGATTTCACATTCATCGCGACACAGGTCCCGGGGCTTCGGGATGGCTGAGGTCTCGTCACAGTACGGGAAGGCGTAGTGGCACAGAGAAGGAATGGCAAACTGGGAGCACTTATCAGATAAGTGGCTGGAGGTGCCGATCATGGTGAAGGCAGCTGGAAAACAAACACCGTTATTAACTCCCAGGGGCCAGGGTTTATCTCCTTTGGTTATCTGGTCAATAGATACCAGAGAGAAACACACATCGGAAGGAATCCGCTGCACTCACACAAGGCCAAGAGGAGATTCAGTTCAGATGTCCAAGCGGCTTACTTTCACTGGCTTGGAAAAAAATCATTTTGACTACAAAGCTAAAAAAACAGGATTAAGTTACATATGTACCATTTCCTAATAAAAAGAATTAATTAGGTTAAAGCACAATATATTTTTCATTTTTACTACAAAGCAACAGAACTTTGTGTTTCATCCGGTACTTTTTTATTAGTTTTATGAAACTTCTAAAACATTTGACAGCTGCAGGGCAGAACTCGCTGTCTGCGGTGGCGGAGCCTGATCCCAGGATTTGGTTCTGTGTCTTGCCTCTGAGGTGGGTGACTCTGGGTAACTTTAATTTCTTTGTGTCTCTGATATTCCCTATTCCATTTTCTGAAAATGAGGCAATTCTCTTGGAAGTTCTCAAAAAAGCACAATGCAGTCATTCTAGGCTGCGTATCAGTGGTCACTTAGCCTGACTTTTTACTCAGCTCGGCATCCGTGGACAGAAAGAGTACTTGCCTCCCTTTGCACTGAAAGGAGCTTTACCTCATGAGACAGCCTGGGGGTGGTTGGTACGCTGTCTCCCAATGTATGTTCCTCAGAACAGTCGCTCTGTAGCATAGTCATAGTGTTTGAGAAACTAGGGTTCCAGAGCAAACAAACAAGTTTGGGAAATGCCGGGTTACACAAAATTAAGTGGCTTTTTTAAACTGTAATAATTTCCAGTAAGCAGATGTCCACTGAAAATGTCTAAGAGATGATTATTACAAGTGGGTGATGAAACACTGACATCGGAACTCCCATTTATTTTTGTGAATACTTAGTGAAAAAATATGTTAAGGTGTTCTTATATTAGGTTGAAATGTGCCTTCAACAGCCCCTCCCCATTAGTCAGTCCTGCTTCTGTCCTCTGGCATTTCAGAGTTTGTCCTCCTGAAAGTTCTTTAGCAGGTGGTAACTCCAGCTTTCTATAGTTGCTTCTCTAGGTTAAATAGCTCCCCTGGGCTCCTCTTAGTTCCTTCATATTCCTCAGGACATAGTTTCTAGATGCTTTGCTGTTCTGTGCACCTGCCTCAGGTTTGTTCAATCCTAAGGTTGCCAGATAAACTACAAGGCACTTCATTTCCTTTGAACCTCAGGTAAACATTTGGAACATACTTACAGTAAAAAATTATCCACTGTTTATCTGAAATTCAAATGTAACTGGGTGTCCTGTATTTTTATTTGCTAAAGCTGGCAACCTTATTAGAATCCCATAAAGGCAATTTTAATGGCTTGCAAGGGTATGTGGCAACAGGGCATAACTACACTAATGGAAGAAACACAAGGCTGCTGTAACCATCAGAACCAGGTGTACAAAATTGTACAAGGTGGCCTACACTGCTTTGCTCATGCATGCTAGAAAGTGCGTCACTATTGGATTTCCATTAAAAAGATACTTTTGATTCAGAAACATGAAGGGTAAAATAAGAGAAGGCTAGAGCAGGAAGAGACTTATGATCATCCTGCCACATCACTCATTCCACTGATGAAGAGAGAGATTTTCATGAAGAATAAGAGATTTCCCCAAAGTCACAGTATTGGTGTCCAGAATTCTAGACTCTAAATTGATTTAGAGTTTACATGACTTTCAGTCTACACGATATTGTCTCCAAGCAGTAACTCTATGAGGGCAGTGATGTAAGCTGGCTTATTCATCACCCCGGCATATCCCCAGTGCCCCGTCCAGTTCCTGGTATGCCCCAAAACACTAATAATCTTCATCGAGTGTCTGAATGAATGTGAGACTTTTCAGAGCACCCTTTTCCTCTAAGAGCAACAACCTTCAATAAAGTATTCTAATGAACATTCCAGAACACAGAGGTCGTATCTCCTGCTTCTTTGTGGTCCAGCTCCTAACCCATGCCTAGCCCAATCCTTTGTCAAGAGAGGAGCTCAAGAAAACGTTTGGTGAGAAAAAGAGTTATACAAGGTATCAGTACAGTTTCATTAGTGTTACCTACCTGTGATCTGATTTTCTATTTCCCCTTGCATGTGCAAAGACTCCATATAGACAGTGCGGTTGCCAATAAATCTTGCACACGCAATCCCTCTGTATGGCTGACAGAATCCATCTTCTTCAAACTCATCTCTAGAAACAGAGCACAGACATTAGGGGCTGGTATACATTTACATCCAGTTGGCTCTCACTGTGTCATGTCCGAAACAGTCGCTAGGGGGAGAAGCTGAGCACAGTAGCCCCAAGGCAGGGCTAAGGAGTCCGGCTTTTCCTCAGTTCCACCCATCACTTAAAATATCTGCTGGTCACGTTGGTCAAGTTTCCTTCACCCCCAGAAAATCACTCTGAAGCGCAAAATCATCCTTAAATAGGGGAGAAAGCACTTTTATTTTCGCAGCTGGTGGTGATGTAGTTATAAAAGTAAAGAGGAAATGAGTTGGGAATCTGGGCACATGTTCTACAGTTTTTTGTTTTTTAAGCACAGATTATTTCTGCTTCATTTGCTACAAAGCCGTGGGCGCATTATCCACAAGATCCACTCCAACTGATGTGTCAATTAGGAGGGTCCATGGGGTGAGAAGCTGGGTGCAGCTGGAAAGAAACCAGAGGGCAGCGCAGTTACGTGGCTCTTCGCTGCTTAAGACCCATTATCTCTACCCAACAGAGAGACTCCAGGCAACCTGGGGACTGCACAATTTCAAATGAGTCACTAAATTCCAGGAAATCTAGAGTACGTGTCAATGAAAATCGTGCTTTCGTGATCCCCGACAACTTTAAAAATAATCTTAAAAAATTTGTTGCCTCAAAATGATAATAAAAAAAGTAGGGGGAGTAGATTTTATTCTGAAGACGAGGGGATGCCAGATGGTGTGATTAGCGTCAGTGTGGCAAATGGCGGGAGATCGAAGGCTGGAGGGTCGGACCCAAGATGGTAGCTTCAGCTTGAAAGGCTAGAGGCTATAACATCCACGAGGGCCTACCATAAGTACAAGACACCAGAGTACAGAATATCCAGCTGGTTCTCAAAAGCAGACCACAGCCAAACAAAAGGCCACTTGCCACGCTTCTGGGCTGACCTCACCCTGGAGGCTCCCCCTCTGTTAACATGGCTGGAATCAGTACATTGTCTAAATAAAAAGATCAGTTTTCCTCTTCAGTTTCCTCTAAGTTAAAGTACTTTAGAGCCAAAGTCAGGAGAAGGAAATTGTCTTCCTGGGCTTAACATTTGCCTTTCCTTAGCCAATCTGAGTCCTCTGAGCTATGGTTTTCTTATCTATAAGATGAAGATAATCATTGACCTCTCTACCCTATAAGTGAAAGTCACGAGGACCCTATCAAACAACGTAAAGTGCTACTCAGAGGTAACACATGCTTATTATTGAAGTATTTATGATTACCAAAGAAGACATTTATTTAAAGGACAATTATTTACTAAGCTCCTATTTTGTAAAATCGACTCTAGTCAGTCTGATGGCCCTAGACATCCCCCCTTGGGGGTTCAGTGTGGGAGTCTAGAAAGCCCGCTCTAACAGGAAACCAGGTGAAAAAAATCAGATAAAGCTGATCATTAAAAGACCAGTTTCCAGCAGCTCTCTACTTCCTATTCACTCTAACAGTCTTTTTGGAGGTAGAGATGGGGTGGGGGTGGCGGGGGAAGTATCTTCGCTTTAGTTCCCAAAACAGTTTGCATTGCTAAGCTCTTAAAAACTTAACCTGTAAGTACACATACAAATGAATATATCACATACCTGACATGAAGACACTGAAATTTTAATGTTGTAAAATCCTGCATGTTTACTTTCATAAATCCTAGAGTAATGTTGAAGCCTTTTTGGCTTAAATTTTACCTGGGTTGTAAAATTAACCCCACTTTTATTGGGTAACTAATACTGTAAACCTATGGGGAGAAAGAAGTTTCTCGATGACCTAGCCTTGGATCTTGGAAACCAAAGTACTGAGACCAGAATGCAGAGCCACACCACCCCCTGCTATTACCGATGATGCTTTTCTATCCCTAGGCATTAGCAGAGTCCTGGACTTTTAAGGTGTCGTTATGAGAACACTTCTTCCTCCCCCACATTAAACTCTCAAGGCCTCAATTTATACCTCTTGGGAGGACAAAACCCTGGAATTAACCCCAGATGTAAATCCCCAACCTACTGGGAGTCCCCATATTTTATGTGTGAGGCTTAGGCTAAACTTCTTACCACCTTTCCAGTTCAAGACTCTAAAAAGACTCTTTGAATACTTTTTTTTTTCCATAATAAAAAGGAATGCAGTTCCTTGGCTGCATATTTCTTATCAAGGGCTTAGAGCTGCAGGTGTATTGAATTTTTGACTGTGCCCAGAATTCCTGATATTCTGAACAGTCTCTTGGGGACAGATATAAAAAGCAAAGCAAAACAAAACAAAACAAAACAAAAAAAACAGTGTGTAATGTCATCTTCGAGGGAGTAGTTCTCAGCCCCGGCTGCTCTGAAGAATCTCCCTAGAAAGATTTGAAAACCTCAATGCCTAAGCCCCACCTCAGACTTACTAAATCATACTCTCTGGGGATGTGGTAGAGGCATGCATGCTTTTTAAAAAGCTCTCAGGTGATTTGAATGTGGTTGAGAACCACAGCACTAGGAAAACAAACCTCTATTAAGTGTCTGCCACTCTCTGTGCTGGGTACCATGCTAAGTGCTTTCTTCCAAGTAGTCCCTTACGTGGCATTATTATCCTTCTTTTACAGAGGGAGAGACTCAGGTTCAGAGAAATAACTGGCCCAAATTCGCAAAGCCAGTTCTTGGTGGAGCTAGGATTTAAACTTAAAGTATAAGCTTAAGCCATTACACCATGTTGTCAGATCTATAATGATGGTCCTGTTTTCAGTATTTTAATCAGATCAGCCCAATGATAAATAGGAGACTTTAAAATGAGCCTTTATTCTGGACCAGGAACTGTTAAGTTTCACTTACACATACAATTGATATTAAATCATTTAATCCTGCTAAAAAAGGGGAAGATGTAATCATCCTCATTTTACAGATGAGAAAACTGAGGGTCAGAAAGAGCGGAGAACTTGTCTAAATTTACACAGCAAGTAGAAGAGCTAGATTTGCCCCAAACTAGCACTTGTACACCATGGTATACAGCTTCCCTCCAAATGGTTTATGAAGGTTTTTGCACCGCTCACAGGGGCTTTCTGCTGTGAAGATGCCTTGGTGTGTGCCGGGTGGCAAAAAAGGTTTTCTTTAGAACATAGAGTCACAATCACCTTTCACGCTTTCCATTTTTCCTGCTGGCTTTTGGCTGGAGGGGAACCAATGCTCCTCCAACACTCATCAGCTCTATGCTTTTTTCTCCAGCTCACACTTCTTTCATCATTAATTTTGCTGAGCAAACTCAAAAACATGGAGCACACAGCAGCAAAAGTGCAAGGGCACTTACAGTGAGCATGGCCCAAGGCTGCGTTCTTTCTACGGAGAAGAGGGTGCATTGTGAAAGGGAATGGAATTTTGCATTGACATGTGCCAGCGACCTCACCGTGATGTCAAGAAGCAGGGATGCTTTGTGATGGGGACTCATGTTGTCTAACTCATAAAGTAATTTAGTTACCATGTTGCCAACCCCGATATCCTTCCACCTCAGGGGTCTCCCCAAGGAGCTTATGAGGGATGGTCAGTAAGAGTGACCACGACCAATATGGCAGCCATAGGGGTATCTACCCAGGACCCACTGGAGACCAATGAAAAGGAAATGCTGCCATTGCAAGTCACAACCCAAGGGGGGTTTTACAGCGACAGTGAAAATCAATAGCTACAAATTCCCGGGCCAACTTCTCAGGTCAGTTGACTAAAGCAGGGAACTCTGATGATGGAAAAAGCACACTGCATGGTACGGGGCATGTGGAGACTATCTGTAGTTTTGCAAGCAGGGAGAAGGAAAGGAGGAGAAAGGGAGGTGGGTGGGTGGAGTAGGGAAAGTGAAAAGATGGAGAATACTGCTCACCGATGCCCAAATGGGGTTGTGCCGATTTTGGACCATGAGAGGCCCACAACTGCTCTCCTTAGAGATTCCAGGGAGGGCAGGCTTTCTGAAGGCTGCCTTAATTTAAGGATACAAGAGAACGAACTCAATGGTTGTCTTAGTCATGTGATTTAAAAAGAAACCCTAAATATGACTGGAAAAACTGGCACGATTCAAATAAAGTCTGTAAATTAATTTGTATCATACCAACGATGATTTATTACCTTTTTTTTAAATGTAGGCTCCACGTCCAGTGTGGAGTCTAACGCGGGGCTTGAACCCACGACCCTGAGATGGAGACCTGAGCCAAGATCAAGAGTCAGCTGCTTAACCTACTGAGACATCCAGGCGCCCCAATAATTTCTTACTTTTGATCATCCCACTATGTTTATGCAAGACATGAACATTAGGAGGAATGGGATGAAGGACATATGGAAACTCTCTGTACTATTTTTGCAACTTTTCTTAACTATAAAAATATTTCAAAATAAAAAGTAAAAAAAAAATCTTATAGGATGGGGGAGGGTGGGAACTTTATTGTGTGTAGACGTAACTGGAGATGCTATGGGGTGAGGTGGTCAGGAAGGCCGTCAGATGACCTCATTTAATCTTTATAACAAACCTTATAACACTCCCTCTGGGCCTATCCCTGGGTGGTGGAATTCCCTTCTCTAACAATTCACTTACTTGTTTGAGGCTTGGCCTACTTCTAAATTCAAACACTTCCAGGAGTGATGACCTATTTGGTCAGGAAGCCCTTAGTGTAGATGGACTTTTGCTAGCTGCTGCAGGCACTCTCATCTTTATTGGAAGCTGTATAGGCTGGGGCAACGGATGAGAGGTCTGTGCTGGAAGAAGGCAATCTTCCCTGACTTGACAGTTAGCTCTGGGCCCAGCTTCGTGCCAGGATGACAGAGCAGGTGGGCTGGGGATGGAGCGTGTGGGACTCACCAATACAGGGCATCTCTGTCATCTGGGTCATCATTCACTTTGTCACAAGTGATCTTTTCAAACACAGAACACAATCAGGTCATTTCCTGCCTAAAATTATGTTTCCCACTCACTTCAGTTTCCTGATGGCAGCCTCCAAGGCCCTTCATCATCTAGTCCCTGCCCATTTT